GGCTGCTATCTTTGCAGTCTTGGGGTAGCTAAGAAGCGTCGTCGTATGTAAAACTACAGGGTTTAGGGACAGGCGTGGGGATCAGAATTGGGAACCTAAATTTCTTCCCATGCCCTTTCGATGCTTATGTTGCTTCATGCAGTGGAGAAGTTTTTTGCCCTCATGCGAGCTACAGCTACAGGAGCTTGAGTGCCATGTTTGGGCAGGTTACGGAACTTGAGAGCCTTATTAGGGCAGAATACAGAGCTTGGTGCTATATCAGGGCAGATTATGGAGCTTGAGAGCCGTATCAGGGCAGAAGTGCAATATCATGGCAGATTACGGAGCTTGAGTGCTGTACCAAGTGCCATTCCAGGGCGAATGTGTTGAACCAAATGCAGAGGTGTTGCTAATGAAATCAGGTCAATTACGACACCAGGCACATTCCAGATAGACATTAGCTATGAATCAAACCTTTGTGTGATGTGATTCGACCTGAAACGGTTTGGTTAGCAAAATTTGACGCGCTGGTTGGATGGGGACGATTTAGCTCATTCTCGAATCGCATTCCAGTGTGTATCACCTAGTGACAAACGGGAACTAAGAAATTTCATTGAAACCATTAAACCGAAAATATCTTCACTTCGTATTTGAGATCAAGATAATTTGAGTCATTTCTACAATAGTTTGAATTTTTATTGATAAATGATTAGAGTTTCGTTACAGGGTATCAACAATAACGAGACTTCCAGATTTTGTTGCGACGAATCAGATGAGGGCAGCCACTCAGTTCGCTCACAAGCAGGTGACTTGTTCCTGGCGATGGCGATAATTGTCCTCCACCGCCCATAGCCTTATTCCGAGCCTGCGTGGTTTGCTTACTGACACACAGGCCGTGAAACGCGCTTTGTCAGACCTGCAAAGGATGTGTGAGGAGGAGCAAAACAGATCCCCCCAGTGGAGCTGCCATGCCAAGAAGGAATGCGGGAGCGGATATAGCTCAGCCGGCTGGCTGGCGCTTCTTCAAGTAGTTTCTACGCCGCGAAGGAATCCCAAAAGAATTTCGGAGAGGCATTTTTTTTCTTCTCAAAAGTTAGCGTACAAGGGATCTCACCTCGCGTCTGTTAGTAAGCATGGCATCATCAAGACGATACACCCAGTTTGAATATGGAAGATTCGCCCAAAAAAAGCTGCACGTGACATGCCACCACACTTCAGGAGCCCCCTGGAACGGTAGAACGACGCTGGAACGGCTTCCGAAGCAAAACTCTGTTTCGGAGTCTGCAGCCCGGGTCTCGTTACTATAACCGCACACAGGAAGCACAAATGGGTTCGCCCGTTCAGAGAAGTTCTACAAAGCACGCTCGGCCTGGAGTTTGAGGTTCGGTTCGGACGATGATCGAGGGAATCTCGTGAGGATCCGTGCGTGCACCACCCCTCTCCGAACAAAGTCCGTCTGACACAGCTGCTCTCAGGCCTAAGCTCGTCCTTGGAGCAGAGGCACAAGCACATGTCAGCCCTGCTTCCGTCGGCCCTTGTCCAGGCCGCCGCTGCGTAGACTATCTCACAGTGGCATACAAGTTGAGTCTCGTTTCCCTCCACTTCCCTTGCTAGATGCGTGTCACGTTACCGCGGGATTAATTCCAGACCGCGCCGACGCCTCAATGCCGCCGCCTAAGCCAATTACGATGCAGCCGCGAGCATCATGGCTTGCACTCTCCGCCACGATTTGGCTTTCTGCATTCGTCTCTTGCCATGCGCAACCGACCGTGACTTAACGCTACTCAAGGTGCCTCCCTCTCTCCTTCGCACAATGCTAATAGCGATCAGTGTCGCTTCTCGACATCTCTCGTACCTCGTTCCTGTCGAGCACGTAATAACAATCAGCCGGTTGCACTGCCACAATGCAACTGACTACTACAAGTAGTGCTGATCCTCTTTTCAGTTACGTGACGGCACGAGCGCCACGTGTTCATGCGATGCCATCTAATACGTCTGTTCTTAGGTTTGGTTTCCATCATACCTTATTTTGGGACGAAGTGATGCTGTAGAGTCACTTCCACTGTCCCCAATCCAGCGACCCTTGTATGTGGTTCGCCGAGGAATCCCTGAAAAATCGACGATGAAACCCTAAGGACTCATCCCCTGAAGCGGATCGATTTGCTGGAAAATCGGTTTTGCGCGCTGGGTGTAGCACTGCAGCGTCGCAATCAACAAGGTAACTGCTTTTCGCCAATGTTCTTGAATGTACAGTAAAAATGTGCCCGCGATCCTTTCACCTACGCGGGTCCCGATCGATACAGCGAAGTGAAGTATCGATCTTGAAATTGGATGGCGCGGTGTTGAATATCGCGCCACGAGTGACAGTCACGATCGATCGTCTTCCCTTGTCGTCGCATAGTTGCTGAGCAACTTAGCGTACAGGGGGTTTGCCTGTGAGATTCTGTGCGCGACCACAGAGCTGTTGTCGCAGATTGGGTGTACCACAAACCCAGATCCTGCCTTACCAAACCCGTTGGTGCGGTTCGGCAGATTCTCGGCCGAGACACTTCACGTGATGCGTCCTAAACAGTGCTTGCGATGTATCTGCAACCTAACCCTAAACAATCCCACCCATACCTCGGCAATGCTTATAGTACACCTGTTCTTCGATATTTTCACTATCCTTAATTTCACACCGCGCTTCGGTGTCACTTCGGGGTCCTCAGCCCAACTTTGTTGGGAGACGAGCTGCCATTTCGCAATGGCTGGAAAAACTTCCTGAGATCGTCGTGCACTTTTTGTCCATGTCAGCAGCAGACTTTGCGGCTCGAGTGTGAAATTAAGCGGGACTTTATTGCTCCGTCTATTTTCATGCCCTCTCAGGCAATCGTTTTCGCGACCCGGGAATGTCACCCCGTGAAGATATTGGAGAACAGGTGTAATGCTCAAATTTTGTTCCCCACATCACCAAAATGTTGCTGACCTAAACCTGGCCCGTACCCTGACCCCATTGTGGCCCAAAACTAAGAGCGTGGTACACCCAAGCAAAGATCGCTGCATTTTGAGGATCACGTCGGCGATCCTTGCAAAACAGTGTCCCACCTACTACAGTACAGTGATCACTGTGTCAGGTGGTGTACCAACAGAGGTGGGATCGGAAACATGCGTAGTCAATGCTACACAATCTTTGTGATGTCCGTAGGATCATCGTGACTGCCAATCTCTTGGTGATCTTTGCAACTCTGTACCAAAGACAGGGTGATCCTTGTTGACTAAAAACATTCCTTTCGCAATCAGGTCGCACATCTGAAAGGAAGTCGCATCAAATCAAAACATTTCGAAAATGAAAATCTCACCAATGAGGTTGTTTCGTCTCAGTATATTACACGGCCAGCATATGCACGCGAAGTATCAACGTTCGTGACTCGTTGCGATGTCGCCCGGTCGCAGAGGATCACCAATGCAAAATTGGAGTGGTACATCAACGAGGGTCGTTATGTGCCCACAAAATTTGTTGTTTTGCTACCAATGATCCTACGATTGGGGTACGGTGATCTCAGCTAAGTGATCCTTGATAATGCGTCAGGTGTACCCCGCTCTAACTTTATCAATAACACCAAAGACTTGAGGTTCAGAAGTTATAGGTCAGTAAGTTTTCTAATTCCAAAGTGACCTGAACCACAACTGACACAAAACTGCCCCGGATGTGACTATGCTTGTATAGAGATTTGGGGATGCAGGTTCGATACCTGTTGTTGGCGGTTCTGTCTCTTTTTTCCTTCCGAATCTGACTTTCGCGGATGCTCGCTGGGTGCATTATAACGAGCACAAAAAAGACAGGAAAACAACAACAGGAAAAAAGACCTCTTTGAAGCAATAAAGGCTCTAGTGAGAGTCAATTGCCAATGCCCTTACCTCTGGTTTAACATGCGGCACATCAACCACTATGCTAAACATGTTCAAATGGATTGAGCAAAGTGAGTTTCACACATTTTGTGAGCGAGTTTTTGAGCGTTCCTCGGTAACCACAGCAGGCACGGGTAGCAGCAGCGTTTCCTTGCAAGCTGACTGCCCCTGACGTAGCTCAGGTTGCAAGTACATCCATAACCTTGTGCCTCGTTCTCTCTCGTTCTCCTCTCCTCTCCTGTTCCCGACCACCAGCGGCGTTTCTCGAGGACTGCCAGAAGGCATGGGGAAAGACGCTTCCAGGCTGGGAGAGGGTGGTGAAGACGGTCCAAATCTGGGTCGTGGGTGCTGACTGTTTCCTCACCCTAGGACTCTTCTGTGCCTCTGTCTCTCTCTCTCCCCTCCTGCCCCCAACTGCCAGCGGCGTTTCTTGAGGACTGCCAGAAGGCATGGGGAAAGACGCTCCTTGGCTGGGCCAGGGGTGCAACCTGTGGCACGATTGAAGGAGTCACCTGTGACTCTTCAGGCATGATTACCTCGATGTAAGCGTGCAATTACTTTGGACCTCACAATCTGCTTGTGTCTGCATACTTGCTTTTGATTGATGCCGGCTGCCTGCAGCAGAATTTGTGCCAAATATTCCCCGTTGTAGTGTCAGTCGGTATATACTCACTGGGTCAAAACGAGGTATGCATCTGGGGCGGAGTGGAGGCACTCAACCCTCACGTGTAAGCCTCACAGGCATTACACTCGTCCCCATTTGGTGCCAACATCCTCGTTGGTTCAAAACTTCAGGGAGTCGGCCCTCGCAAGGTCCTCAGCTTCGCTGGGCACTACGTCAACTTCACTGGTGAGCAGGCCATTGGAGAACCTTCAGCTGGGTTACCACGTTCAAGTTCTCGCTACTAGTGGGAAAATGTGACCAGCCAAGAATTGAAACCCTAGGCTCTAATACCAGTATAACGCCTTGCTACTGGGTCAAAACGAGGGGTAAATTGAGGCATAGCGGAGGCACTCAACATTTACATGTAGGCCCCACACGCGTTACAGCCCGTCTCCATCCAGTTTCCTTTCAACCCACACTCGTAACTCTTCCCTTCTTTCAACCCACCCACCCACCCCACCTCACATAGAGATTTGACAAGTACAACTCTTGATGGGTCTATCCCTAATAGCATTTCCTCGCTCACTTCATTGAAAACACTGTAAGAACCTTGCAGTGAAACAGTGAGGGTGTTTTTGTTTTTTTTTTTTTGGTGTGTGTGTGTGTGTGTGTGTGTGTGTCTTGTTTTTGTTTTTTTTTGTGCCCATTCTTTCATGCCTTCTTTCAGTGCTAGTAGATTCTCAGCGTTGAAAGGTATCCCATGAAGGAAGCCTATAGCGATATGGCTAGAGGGTGAATGGCCATTCCAATAAATGACGACAAGAGAAGTGCAACACAGAAAACGCGTGGTTCATAAGGAAAAGGATAAACGTGATATGCTTCATTGCCTTTAACATTTTTTTTTCCCCAAAATAGCAAGGAAGCTCTGCTGTTACCACCCAACCCTCCTCCTGCTGCTGCTGGTGAACTAGGCATTCCCTTAAACCCCTAAACCCTTCTACAGTAGTTCGATAAATTAACCCGCGGGCTGAACCCGCCTATGACCGTGGACTTGGCCGCGGAGTCTGAATTTCTGCCAATGTTTATGGTATAACAGTGCCATGGAGGCTTCTAAGGGCCAGCACTGGTAAACCTATTGTCGACTACCCAAAACTAACATAGACTATGGAAAATCGTCTGCACCAACATATGTAAATAGTGTGTAAGGTAGCAACGCTGCAGGTGCTTCTAGACTAGGCTATTGGGGATGTGTTAGCTAAAAACGAGCTAAAAATTGAGCTCAGCTAGTGTTCAGTGACGACCTAAAAAAGTGTCGGAAAGGGATCTTTTCGACGAACACATTTCTGTTCGTCGGAGAGGCTAGATGAAAACGAACATTGTTCGGTTCTTCGCGGCTCGGCTAGCCGCGACGAACCGAGCACGAACATCCACAAACATTTTTTTTGCAAAACAAAATCACCTGTCCGGCTCGTCTCGAACGAACCAAACAGGTGTTCGCCCGTTTGCTCAGGCGTAACTCCATGTCCACGGCATTAACATCGCCTTCTTCACTGTTTTATACAACCCCTTCCCCAGGGCCATGTCTAATTGTGGGCTCAAAGGGTCTATTCCAGCTGAAATTCTAAGCCTCGTTTCATTAAAGATCTTGTAAGCAGTGTGAGATATGCTGGTATCGCAATTGTGGATTTACAGGGAGAGAGTGTGTTGCATCTGTATGAAAAGTGTTCAGAGCACCGACTGTATCCGTCCATCGTTGCTGTGTCCTTCATGCTCTTTTCGCCCAAGTTTCAAAGCCTGCGTGCATCAGCCCTCGGATCGGACCAGTTAAACACTGTAGTATCAACATCTCTAAACATTGTGCTCACACCTTCCATCTATCCAATCACTACAATATGCATAGTCATGGAGTTGCCACTCCCGAATTTCCTGTGTGTGGGACTAAACACTCGTTCAGTTTTCTCTTGTATCCATGTCGTAAATGTTCCTCATAAGATCAAGAAAGTGATCAACAAAGTCATGGTCATGCCCTTTCTCCATTGAGATGAGTTGTCAATGAGTTGGGCAGTCTTTATGTCCGGTTTCCATCCCCTGTGGCCAGTAATGTGACAAATAATCAGCTCACCGGACCCATTCCAGCCGCAATTGGAAAGCTCACCAATCTGAACGAACTGTAAGCTGCTTCAAGTTGGTGGTTGCTAGGATAGAGCTGTTTTTTTTTTTTTTTTTTTTAATTGTCTCTGCCTTTGCCATTGTTTTACTGAGCAAGCAAGAAAACCTTTTGCATATCCCACCTTCCACTGCCCTTCTTGTGTGTTGGAGGGAGTACCGGTGCTAGGGCATTTCCTACACCCCCAACCCATTGATGATGGTTTGGTGCTCACAAGCTTCAGGATGGTGAGGTGGTGCTTGTTGTCTTCAGGTGATACCTCAGTACGGTGCCACCTGCCAATTTACCCAATGATGGTGAAATTGAGCAATGATGGTGAAATTTACCGAATTGTCAACACATCAATCTAACCTTCAACCTCAATGAGTACAGTGAAATGGTGAAGGGTTGCCTTTAATTTCACAGCACGGGGTTTTTTTGTGCGGCTGACATGACACACAATGTTGCAAATCGACGTAAACATGTGTCGGTTTTTTTTTTTTTTCATGTGTGTGTGTGTGTGTGTGTTTGTATTTTTTATGTTTATTTTTTTTTTACGTGCCATATTATTTCTGAACGTGTTCGAAGCAAACTGAACAGGTGTTCGCCAGTTTGCTCAGGTCTACTTGGTCCGATTGAACTAAACCGGCGTTTGTTTTTCTGACCTGATCATGTCTACCGGCTAGAGCTGCGTCAAATTGCAGTTTGCGTCCCATCTCCCATTGTGTCGTGTGTGCGTGCTTGACCTCTCTCCAGCCATGCCCACTTTTCTCATCTCTTCACTCCCTATGACTCACCCCTCCCCACGCAGATCTGTCAGAAAGAACGCATTGAATGGCTCCATTCCTGACAGCATCGTGTTTCTCAGCGGACTAAATTTTTTGTAAGGATTTCACACATTAAATTTCGCAAAGGTTGTATGATATTACCACAATTTACATGGATTTTCCTGAAATTCTTTCATTAGCAACAAAATCCAAGATACTAAACTACATCAAACTCTAGACAGTCATGACCATGTGCTTGAGTCGAGTCGAGTCAGCCCTTACCTGAGATGAGTCAGGGCCGAGTAGAAAAATTGACTCAGCCCGACTCGTGACTCGGAAAAACAGTGCGAGCTGGGTCTGACTCGTGGCAAGTAAGGAGAACCGCGAGTCGGAAGTGACTCAAAATCCGTTTCGAAGAACTTCATGTACGATTGTGTTTTAATTTGTGATTTCTATGTTGTCTAGAACATGCCCGGCTGGTAAATACTGGCAAGAAATATGAGAGATATGTCGCAAGAAAGATGAGAGATTTGTCCCAACTAAACGAAATCGCCAGATCTGTCGAATGGATTTTAGAGTCATTGGAAAACGTTGCCGGATTGAAACTTGTCCCCACCCATTTTGTTTTCGCAAATGTTGAAGCAGAAACTCATCATTCGCCAATTTCGCGTGTTCGACATTTTTTGGAAATTGTTGGCTGGTTCTTTACGCAACGGAATCGGTGCTGCTTGTTACGCACACACATCTTGTGATTGAAAAGAAGCTCAGGAGGGGAACCCCGGATGCAGGACGCATGCGAAGACGCAGGACTCTTCGCCGAAATTCTTTTGGGCAGCCCGGAAAGAAAAAATTGACCCACGAAATTGACATTCGTGAATTCGACGGGAATGTCAATATTGACATCGTACCCCAATGAGTGTGTTGTTGCCAAGCAAAATCTCAAACAAATGGGAGCGATTTTGCTATTTCACCAAGCAAAATCGCTACTAAACCATATTTCCACCAGCCAACGCACATTACCGCATTGCATCCCCTACCCGAACCTGAGAATGAAATAGAATCAGGTCAACATTTAGAGTTTTCTTTCCTAGTCGACCCAATAATCTTTTCACAAACCTTAAATCTAGGTTTAACTATGTTTGTGGGATCCTGATGTAAATCTAAGTAATTATGGATTAATGTGGTTGCAATGTCCAGAAACCACCTCTCCCCCCCACTTAGACGGTTTTTTTACCTGCCGATGGTTTTTATTTACTTGCCCGGGTCAACGTCACCTGAGCGTCTAATACAAGGCCGGGTGCGCGTCTTGTGTACAGGAGTGGTTCTAATACATCTCTGTCGTGAGCTAGTAAGGTGCAGAAATGTTATTTCAACCATTGTAGAAGTAGTTGGGTTACCCAGAGAGTGACGCAAAGTTGTTGACTAGGAGAACTGTGGAGCGCTTAATTGAAGAAGTCAAGGGACCTTGAAGATGGGGTAATCTGGAGGACCAACCTAGTACTGCACGGCTCAACTCCAAAGGTGAGACACAGAATTGGTGGCGGCTCGGAAAGAGAGGTCAAATAGTCAGCCAGAACATCTAGTAATTTGTTCTCTCGTTTGTTTACTGACTACAGTGGATTTAAGTTAGCAATGTAAGCTACGACAGCTATGTGACTAAGCCACTCGGAGTAGCCAGAATGTGGGCGCCTGGATCTCTCCCAAACGAGAGAAAGACCGCCACGAGTTGCGGTGGCAGCAAACGTACACGCGGCGTGAATCTGCGCTGCCGCAACGGATTCTCTCACAGGAGCGCGGGAGGTCGCCTGCACATTCGCCAAGGACGGCGGTGTACCGCGCGGATCCGTACACCCGTCGGCGGACGTCGCGAAGGAGGTGAGCTCGATCCGCATGCAAGGACGGAGCCCAGGCCTCACCCGTCCTGCAGCGACCCTTGGAAACTGGCAGGCAGCCAGCAAGGAGCGGGTGGAAGGCGTCGGGATGTTGCTGACGAGCTGAACTTTCCGAAGTCACCAAGCGAGGCTGACAGTGAGGAAGAAGATGAAGATACCCCAACTGCGCGGGGTGGGGAAAAGCAAGCTGAAGACGCGGATGATGAAGTTCTGCAGTGCCAACACGGAGAAGAGCTTGAGGAGCCTGATGAAGGGGCGGAAATGGATCATGTGTCTGATAATATGCAAGGGGAGGCGGCAAGGCGGAGTGGAGGCGCAAGAGCTCCTCGATCGCCAAATGGACGTCCTGACGGAGGCAAGCGGAGTCATACACCAGCGGGGGCGTATCGCTCACCGGAAACCACGACAGGAACCTGAGAGGAGGAGGCGTATGGTGATGGGAACTTGGCGACCGCCAGAGCCGTGGGATGACGAAGAGGAGGATCGATGGGAGCTGCTGGGGAATACTGCTGCCTGGTCAGACGAAGGGAGACATTAGGACAACATGGACCCACGATCGGGTAGGAAGGGCCCGTGGGGAGATAGGAAGGACAGGAGAGTAGCAAGAGAAAGCGAGCGACTGGATAAGGACGGACGTGCGACAGGTCTTGCTGTTAGTGTTAGCCTTCAATCTCAATAATTGTACTTTTTATATCATAGCATAGTGTAGTTTCCACTTTGGGTTGGGCTGGATGTACACACCCACATCCCAACCCAACCCAAATGTGATCATATGCAATCCCCAACCCACCAATTGAAGATTGCAGCCGATCTCCCTATGATTGCCTCCAATTCCCTCTCCATCCATTCCCAGCTCATTTCCGGTGTAATTAAAGAGCCTTGCGCTATCACTTCAAGCTCAGTTCTAACACTTGCTACACGCCTAGGAGATGTAGATGATGATATTTAGACGATGCATTGGACTTGGCTTTGAATAACATGTTAAGCTGTAGCGCTTAGGGGGGGAAATGGACGGCAAAGGGTTAAAAGATACGTTAGTTAGGTGCGAGTACACAGAAAATGAGCTGGCTGGGGTGAAGGCGCAATCAAACCTCGGCCATGTTCAGTTTAGGACAGACGACCACATGAGGTTGGGAAGGTGTGGAAGAAGAGAGTTTTGTCAGTACAGAGGGTGGGACAAGAGAGGGCAGGCTGGAGGCAGAGGGAGACTAAGAGATGGACGGACAACAAAAAAATGTAGGGAGACTAAAATCACATGAACCCCCAAAAATAAATCCATAGCCGCATAACCTATATGTCACACGCAAGCAAGAAAACCAGGACTTTTGGGGAATGAATTGTGTATGGCAACGTGGCAGCCAAGCCAGGCTGAATACCCCACAACTCCTCTTGCTGACCGTTTCCCTCCACGGCCCAGGTTTGATGAGAACCACAAACTTAAACCGAACTCATGAACTTCTAAAGCTGAACATGAACTCATTCACCTCAAACCAAACTGCGATTCACCTTTTACTCATGCCTGCCTCTCTCCATGCTCGTCTCATCCCCCAGTCGGGTCAACAAGTGTGTGCTTGCTGTCCCTCCATCCATCCATGCCCTTTTTTCTCATCCATGCCCACTATTCTTATGTCCATGCCCCTTATGTCTCCTCACTTCTTCCGCCCCAACGCACACGACGCACACACAGGTCTCTTTCACACAACAACTTCACGGGCTCCATTCCTAACCAGATCTCCAAGATTTCTTTTGTCGATAATCTGTATGAAGCACCTCGTTCAAGCCTGGCGATAATCACGAACATGACCAAAGTCTCATAGCCTAGACAGATGTCACACGCAAGCAAGAAAGTCTCGAAGTCTCATATTAAGGAGTTTTGGGTCATTCAAACATATATGGCCATGCAATTGGCAGCCAAGAGGCTGAATACCCTGCAACCCCTCTTCCCGGCCCAGGTTCGAGGAGAACCACAAACTCGTCGAACCCATGTGTGCGACTTGAACCAGTTCGGCCAATTGGAGTCGGCACGAACTGTTTGCCTCAGACCGAACTGAAATCGAATTCTTTTTCGTGCCTGCCACCCACAAAGATCATCTCATCCCCAAATTGGCTTGACCGTTTGTACTTGTTGTCCCTCGGTCTATGCCCACTATTCTCATCTCCTCGGTGGTTGCACCCCAACCCACACCACACACGCAGGTCTTTTGCAATGAACCGTTTGACGGGCCCCATCCCCGACAGCATATCCAAGCTTGATCAGCTTTCTTTTCTGTATGAAGCACCTCATATATACCTAATGATGAGCACGGACACGATCAAAGATAACATAGATTCTAAAACTCAAAGTTACGTTATCCCGATGTCACACGCAAGAAAGAAAAACAAGGATAGGGTATTAGGAAAGTGAATGGCTAGGGATGAGCAAGATTAGGGCCGCATGCTAGCTTGGCCCTGCCTGCTTTTAGGCTGGCCGGGCCGGCTCCCTTGGGTAGACGTGAGCGATGACCTTCCACTGCCCGGCTTGTGACGAGCCAGCTCCAACCACTGTCTAAAGTGCAGGCCATTGGCCGGTTTGCCACGATGCAGGACTATGGCTAGGTCGGATCGAGGCTTGTCAGATGGGTGACGATCTGGGGAGGCTCATCTTAAGCCTGGCGGTTCGTCATGAGCTAGCTAGGGTGGCGATGGGTTCTAAAGCAGCAGTATACATTTGGCAGGGCGAGTTCCTAAATTTTATAAATGGTACATGGTGGGGCCGAAATCGTGAGGCACACTGTAAGAACCGGAACCCCAGTGTCAAATGTATGCTGCTTCAATGGAATCATGGACAGCCACATCAAATAACCCCTAAATTCTTCTCATCGGTCCCTGGACGGACCTGCATATGTAATGTGGTTGGCGCTGACATGTTGATGGACGGACCTGCCTATCTCAATGTTGATTGAAGTCAGTTACTAGAGTATTATGTTTGCAAAGGAATCACATTCTCACCCCTCAGGAAACACTAAAGGGTTGGGTTTTTGCAACACCAACTTTAACAGACATGAAGCCGCCATACCAAAAGAATTTGTATGGTAAGTAGTAGTTGAGTACCAGCTGGTGGAAATGACGTTTGAAGCTTGCATCACTCTGGTCTTTGACAAGCCCCCCCGGCTCTTTGAGTCTGATCAGCTCGTTTACCACCGGCACACAAGCCAACGGCGGCCACCCAACTTGTGTAAGCTAAGGTCCAAGCGACGCTGTAAGGTCCAACAGAACCAGTTCCTATACCACTATCCGACCCGACCCGGTATCGGGTCACACGCAGGGTAACCGCGTCGTGTATAGACCCGACCTGATTTCGGTGAACGAAAGTGCCGACCTGCACAGATCACGGGCGAAAGCGTGGTCTGGTCAAGCTGACCCAAAGTCGGGTCAGGTAAGACCCGGCTGTGTATCCCCGGGTCGGGTCAGGGATTCTAAACCTTGCCCCTGCCTGACCCGACCCGATCCGGGACGGAAACGCGCCTGGCCTGGCCAAATTGGGTCGGCTCACGCCTAATTCTCGCCATCCTCCATCCGTCACATTTCTCTGGACCGCAGGCCGACACTCACACTGTGCCGGCCTGACCTGGGCCAACCCATGTTGACCCGTGCTAACCAGGGCTCGACCCGTGCTCATCCCTATCCTAGACCCACGTTCAACGCAATTCGGTGCATTTCAGAGTGTGTTCTTTGAACCGGTTTGGCCACTCGACTAGAATATGAACTAAACTGCGATTCGGTTATTACTCATGCCCACCTCCCCCCATGCTCGTCTCGTCCCCCAATTGATTCGACCATGTGTGCTTGCTATCCCTCAATCCATGCCCCCTATTCTCATCTCCTCACTTCTTCCGCCCCGACCCACACCACATACACACAGGAGTCTTGCAAGCAACAATTTGACGGGCTCCATTCCCAACGGCATCTCCGAGCTTTCTAAGCTCACTTATTTGTAAGAAGGAGCTCGTCGTGATGAGAAGCACGAACATTAGCAAAGACCTCATCAGCTCTTATATTCTTGGGAATAAATGCATAGCGCATAACCTAGATAATTGACGCATGCAAGAAAGCAAGCGTCAGAAGCTCTGGGTAATCAGATCAACACGTATATGACCTTGCAATTGTCAGCCAAGCCCGGCTGGATACCCCCCACAGCTCCTCTTCCTGCCTTTCCCCCTCCTCCCAGGCCTTGGTTCGACGAGAACGACAAAATTGCGGAACCGGGTGTGCGACTCAAACCAGTACGGCCAATAAAAATTAACATGAACCCGTTTTCCTCAAACCGAACAGCAACTGGTTTTATGTAACCTGGCCCGACCTCGTGTCGGCCCGACTCGAGGTCGGGTCAGGTAAAACCCCGCCCTGTACCCCCCCCCGGGTCAGTCAAATCAGTGTCTTCAACATTCTGGCCCGGGGTTGACTCGATTCGTCCCGACCCGGAAACCTGCTTGGCCCGGCCAAGTCGGGTCGGGCCGACTGCTCATGCCTACTTGACGCTGACGTAAGGTCGAGACTTTAAACGTTGATGTAGGGACGATATTTTTCTAGCAGCCTAAGTGTTTTTTACCTTAGAGAAAGTCCAATACAAAGCACAAACATGTCCTGCCTTAACTACCATAGGGTCCGCTCCACGCATTTCACTACGATATTATATATAAAAAAATGTATGCATGTTTGATGAAGATAACTCATGGTGAAATGAAATCCTTCTCTCCTGCCCAAAACCCATACATACACTCCCGTTCCCCTCCTCAACAGTCTTAGAACCCCGGGTTTTCTTGCATGTCCAGGCTTTTTTTTACCTGCCCGCTAGATCAACAAACCGGCGCCAATCTCCCCGGCCAAGGGGTGTCAAAGCGCTTTAGGTCGAGCGTTTTGACATAATGTCAAAATGCTTGACTCCTCAAAGCCATCATACGAGAAAAGCCAACTCTTCCACTCGATATTGAGTTGGTCGGGACTGAGATCGGATGGGGTTCAGTGGTAAACAGGAGGGCTTGTTTCGGCTTCGAAATTCAAAATCAAGGTTGAAATCGTAGACATGAGCACAATGGTGAACGCCTATTCGGATCGTCCAACATGTTTGGGGTGAACATATTCGTGTTCGGTTTGTCCCGCCTAGGAGAGCCACGGCGAACGGCGAACATGTTCGTGGTCGACAACGCTTTCTGACGAAAACATATGTGTTCGTTGGAAAACTCCCGGAACCTTTTTTTTTAATTCGACAAGACACACTAGTGGAGCTCATTTTTTTAGCTCGAATTCTGAATGTTTCCCCTCCTCCAGCCTAGACGACAAGCACCAGTACTAAGCATACCTTGTGTAACACGTTGTTTTGTTTGTTGTTTCATTTCCGTCACTCCCAAATGTCCACCAGGTATAACCACCCTGGACGCCAAAATCCACCACCCAGTATTATGTCACTATAACGAAGGCTGCTGATATGGCAAACACGAACATGTTTGACCCAAATGTTTGTGTCCGGCCGAACATTAAGTTGTTCGCCGGTTAAAGGCAAACCCGAACACCTCCCTTTCTGGAAGTGTTCGGGATAGAGATGAGCAAATGGCCCGACCCGACCTGGCCGGGCTACACAGGTTCCCGGGTCGGGTCGGGTCAGGCCAGGCTCGGGCCAGGTCCCTGAATGTTCTGGCCCGACCCGGGCCTACACACTCGGGTCAGCTTGGACAGGGTCACAGGTCGGGTCGGGTCAGGCCAGTCTGACCCGCCCTTTAGTGGGAGCAGGGGTGTAAAACGCGATTCCTGCATTGCGAGTTTCCGTGAACAGCAGGATACGATAGTAAACTAGTTATAGATGTCAGACAATGAGGTTTGAATGGGCCCTAACTAAGTTGTTTCTAAACTTAAATGACTTGCTTGCTCCCGTTAGGCAAGATTGAGAGCGTGGGTAGGTTCTGATGTCGAGGGGATAAAAAATCCCTCGATCACAATTTGAACTAGGGTTTCGTGCCCTCTGTGTCGAAATCGGGTCGGGTCAAAAGCCCGACACGATTCCCCTGGTCTTGACCCGAATTCGGGTCGGGTCAAGCTTGACCCGAAACCCGACCCGAGTTCCATGCTCGGGTCGGGTTTTTTCTCGTGTCGGGTCAGGTCGGCCCATACGGGGCAGGCAAATGAAACCACTGCCCCAACCCGGGCTAAACCACGGGTCGGGTCGGGCCGGCAAATGCTCATCTCTAGTTCGGTAAAACACAAACATGTTAAGATTGCCGAACCTGTCTGTGTTTGCCATTTTCTCATGCCTTGCCTAGCAGTGAGGGATGCAAACTTACGACAGGTATGAGTTGCTTACGAGTGCCCCTGGCTCGAATTCCTTCCAGCTTCTTACATCCCTCTCCACCCCCCTCCACCCTCCCTGCTTCTAGTGAATGCCGCTCGTTCTCCTCCGTGCTCCCGACTCAGCACACCCCCGTGGGCCGCCATGCTCGCTATTCTCATCTCTTCATCTACTCCCAACCCATAACACACAATGCACAGAAATTTCTCATCCAATTCCCTCATTGGCCCCATAGTCGTCGACTTTGTTTCCCGTAATCGCATCGCCTATCTGTAAGAATCTCTCTAGACCCATCCGTTATGTACAAAGCCAACTGCTGCACCGTGCTCTCATGTGCCAGGCCTGCACATCGCTCAGCCTGCACCGCGCGCTCATGTGCCAAGCCTGCACTGCGCGCTCATGTGCCAAGCCTGCACTGCGCGCTCATGTGCCAAGCCTGC